GCCAGAAGGGAAATAGAGAATTAAACCTTTTACCCAATTTTCTTCCTCAGCCCAGTCTTACTGTCCCAAATTTTAATTTCTGAACAAAATTTTCACATGAAAGTCTTTAATGCATCCAGAATTATAAGTGATATGACATATAGTATGGAAAAATACTTTTACGCACTCCCTTCCCCATTTAACTCTTATCTGTAACTTTCATTACTAAATACTTCCAGATTCTAGGGACTCCAGAATTTTGTTAAATGGTAGCATAATAAATTACTTTATCTCTCAGAGAGCCTGGCAAGCTACCAAGAATATCCTGCCCACACAGCAGAGCCTGGCAAGCTCCAAGTGGCGTATTCGATATGCCAAAAACAGTAACAAGTCTCACAATGGACATGTTACTGGTGCCCGCTCAAGCAATTTGATGAACAATGGGAGGACAGTGATACAGTGCAGTACTATTTTGAATAAATTTTTTTCTCTATAAAATTAGGGTCATAAAAATCTACAAAGATGCTACTTAATAAATAATATAGAAAGATCAGCCCAAATCCTCAATTATTTTTTCAGTAGGATTTTTAATTAGAAATGTCCTTACAATACGATGTTTTTATTATCGCTAAGAATTGCATAATAGTACCTGTCCACATCTCCTCTTGAGATGTGCAATTTCTTAACCTTGTCTTGCCCAAAGCTGCCTGAGGTGTGTATTTTCTTTAGGGCACATTTGCCCATCCCTCCTTGGGATGTGAGTTAGTTTTATCCACTTTGGAGAAGTTGTATTTTCTCTTGAACACATTTCTTTTGTTTGTTTGTTTTTAAGAACTGTGATTTACAAAGTTACTTATAGTTGAGTTTTAGGCATATAATCTTTCAACACCAACCCCATCACCACTGTCAACTTCCCTCCACCAGTGTTCACATATTTCCTCCCCATTCCAACCCCCACCTCATCTCCACCTGTCAATAGGACAAGCACATTACAAAATTTCAGTAATTGCAGCTTAAATTTCATATTTTCAGTTTTGTTGAGTCTGTGTTTTGGATATATAGCTATACCACTCATCCATATCATCACCTGTAACTGAAGCCCTGATGCCTGTTTACCCATTACTTCCTATTCTTTTCTTTCTACCTTGATTTCTTTCCTTCTCTGTCCTTTTCTTTTCTAAATTCTCGGGTCAAGGGTGATCTAGGCATCTCCCCTTTACTACAATACATCAAGTATTGTATGGACCATACGTAGGTCAGTGAGGCTATCCTGTATTTGTCTTTCTTCTTCTGGCTTACTTCACTCAACATGGCATCTTCCAGTGCCAACCAGGTTGAGGAAATTGCACGATTTCATCATTGAACAAGTATCTTCACCCCTTCCTTCCCTCCCTTTATTTCTTAAATAAATTTGTTTTTTAAAAAATAGAATTACATGATAGCAAAATATTTACTTTTGTATAAGGTAATATTCATGAAAGTGTCAATTTGTTTTGGGTCCACACCCCTCAGTGCTCTGGGTTTACTCCTGTCTTGCACTCAGGGATCACTCCTGGAGAGAGTCTGGCAACCAAATTTGGTGCTGAAGATCAAATCCAGATTCCTGTGTAAGGCAAGTGCCCTACCTATATTACTATCACCCCAGCTGCGATATTGTTCATTTTTCAATTAAATATTATTTTTTCTAATTTTTTATTCGTAGTAGATATTTCTAAGTATGTGAGACAGAATAAGTGAATTTAAGTGGATCATTCCTTCTAATGGAATGGTTCTTATTTTATATATACTTTAAATTTCCTATCATGTACACATGTAGTTTTTGTAATCAATATAGACATAATCATATAAAATATACTTACTTTCTCTAGGAAGTTATCATTTTATTCTTAAAAGCCTGTTCAAAATTTTTATATCCAAAATGAGTATTAGGGCATAGCACAGCGGTAGGGTGTTTGCCTTGCGCACAGCCAGCCTGGCCAAGCCGGGTTCGATTCCTCCGCTCCTCTCAGAGAGCATGGCAAGCTACCAAGATTATCTCGCTCACACGGCAAACCCTGGCAAGCTACCCGTGACGTATTCAATATGCCAAACACAGTAACAACAGTCTCAAAATGGAGACGTTACTGGGCCCGCTCGAGCAAATCAATGAACAACGGGAGGACAGTGTCTGTTATTGTTTGAGTATTAGACTTTAGCATATGCTATTCTTAGTCATCTATTTAGGGGTCGTGTGGTTTTGTTCATTAACTTATTAAGCGTAATCCATTAATTTCCTGTATTATATTAGTAGATTTCCTAAAGAAAACCACACTTCTAATCTCAGAAGAAGCTTTACCTAATTAAATTCTCAGTGGACTTTGAATTTTCTACCTTCAGAAGTAAGAGAGAGAAAGCAGGAACTTCAGTAATTTATTTTACATGCTAGTATCAGTTTACACTTTTGCACAACAGTTTTTATAGGTTTTATACTTGTTTATTCCTATGACAATGCATATCAGGTATCATTCCATTTTATAAGACGGGGTGGTGCTGAAAGTTATAATCAAAAAGTAGTAGAGCCAGGAAAAATACACAGTTTGGACATAAGCCTGTACTTCTCACCCTCTGTAGTTTGCGGAAGCAAGTCCTACCAAGCTGCCCTTTCTACTGTTCAAGAAAGCTATGCACTATTGCCTTCTTTATGTAGATGAGAAGCTCTCTTACTTCAGTGAGTAATGCACAGTTCACCCCATATTTGGCCTGCTATTGCAGGCTTCTACAGATTCTGTGCAGTACATAAAGTAAAGGAAGTCTATTATTCTTGCATAGAAACTGGAAAAGAACTTGGAGTAATGGTACATTCTCGGAGGTCCTTTCCTGGCCTCCACAGTGGCTAACTCAATTTTGTCCTCAATCACAGGGCCCTGATAACTAAGTGCTGCTGATACATCACAGATCCTTAAGCCTGGCTTTAAAGAAAATTGTTCCTTCCAAGATGCTTCACTTCATTTCTGGTCACATTCCACTATACCTCCCCAACATCCTCATAATTCTTGGGGCTTTTCATATTCCTCTAGATTCTGGAATCCATCTTCTCTAATACGTTCTTCCCGACCAAATCCACTCTTCCTCAACAGCTATGAGCTTTGGATACCAATATCAGACATTCTGGTTGCCCATATCTAGTTTAAACATGGTGTCCCAGGGCCAGTGTTTGGGAGGGGAGTGGGTAAGGGAGAGTTTTGAGGAAGTGGGTTTAGACAAAAATGGTGGTACTTAGGGAATCATTCCTGGCAGTGTTCAGGATACCATCAGGAGACCTTGGGGTGTTGGGGATCAAACCAAAGCCAGCCACATGCAAGGCAAGAGACTTAACTATGTCCAGACCCCCCCCAAGGTCATTAATATGTCCAGACGCCCCCCAAGGTCATTAATATCACCCTCTGTACTCTCTGGTACAATGATGGCCATGAGAAATCAAGGAGGTATACAGAGAAGAGATACTAGACCCAAGATTTAGTATCAAATCCCTCTCTAGCCCCATCCATTCCATCAGGATATCCTATTTGTTCTAACTCCAAAGTATATCCGGAATATAATCATTTCCTTCTAGTCCACAATTTCCACTAAGATTCTAAGCATCATAACCTTTCACCTGAATTAGTTTCAGGTCTCCTCCCCCTAGTCCTAAATCTGTTTTGAACACAAAAACCAAAATCATCATTTTAAAACATACGCCAAAAATGTTTACTATTCATTGGGGATCCTGCAATCCTCCCTATTATACTCAATGCTTACAATAGTTAACAATGTCCTTTGCAAATTGAGCTCCAACTGATAACACCCTCCCATCTCTGACCTTTTCCTTCTAATCTTCTCATCTCAAACTTTATTGCCCCATGCTCTTCCCTGCCTATCAGACATGCTCTGCCTCAGGGCCTTTGCACTGGCTATTCCCTCTGCCTGGCAAATTACCTCACCTCCTTAGCCTATGCTCAAATGTCACCTCTTTCAGAGATAACAACCAAAAAAAAAAAACAAGTGTTTTTGCTTGTTTGTTTGTTTGTTTTACATTTTGTTTTTGTTTTGGGGGGACACCCACACCTAGCTGTATTCAGAGCTTACTTCTGGCTCTGAATTCAGGAATCACTTCTGGCAGTGCTCAGGGAGCCACACAGCCATGCCAGGGATCACACTGGGATTAAAAGTGTGTGTGTGCCAAGAGTGTACCCAGAGTACTCTCTCTCTCTCTCTCAGTTCCTTCAAGAGGTGATTCCAAACACTTTTAATTCTAAACCCTGTCCCAAATGCTTGATGCCCACCTTAGTCATTCTACTTTTTCCTCATAAAACTAGTAATTTTCTAATCAACATCTTACTTTCCTTACTTACTTTTTCTTCCCCTGCCTCTCCCCCAAATCTTCTAAATTCTATATAGCAGGATTTTTTGGGGGGGGAGGGGGGAGTCACACCTGGCGATGCACAGGGGTTACTCCTGGCTCTGCACTCAGGAATTACTCCTGGCGGAGCTCAGGAGAGCATATGGGATGCTGGGAGTCGAACCCGGTTCAGCCACGGGCAAGGCAAACACCCTACGTGCTGTGCTATCCGCTCCAGTCCCCATAGCAGTAATTTTTGTCTTGCTGGCTTATTTCAAGCGCCTAGAACAGTGCCTGCCACACAGCAGATGCTCAAACAATATTGAGTGAACAAACGAAAGGCAGCTTCAAATCTATTTTCTTGAACCAAAGTCTACTTCCTGTATCCCTGTCCTTAGTCATCACCCCCCAGATCATATTGCCAGCCTTGATTTAGAGCTGCGTTTCGGGAGCTCCACAGGCTCCTGAGGGGAGGCAGTCACTGCCTCATCTTTGCCCTCAGCTTCTGCATCTGGAAAAATAAATGAGGCAAAGGAGACCTCCCCTCAAAAGGCCATATTTTGAGTCAGATAAGGAGACCCCTGGGAATATACAAGCCACACGGGGCCTGGGTCCACCGCGACCTCCTGCGGCTCTGGAGGGGAGAGCCCTGGGCAACGGGTACCTGTGGCTTCGCGTCGTCTTCATCCTTGTAGTAGTAGAGTTGCTGCGCCCTCAGCACGAAGTACCGCTGCTGCCAGTTCTTCACGATGGACCTCTGCTTCTTCAGCCAGCCCATCTTGATCGGCCTCTCCAGCGGGTTGGGGGTGGTCGCGGGGTGGAAGGCCGCCATCTGCTCGCCGGTCATCACGCTCCTGGAGCGAGCTGGAGAGAGGAACAGACAGGCGGCCTGACTGACTGAGGGACCAGCGGGCTGAGGAGAGGCCGGGAGGAAGCTCCGAGGGGCGGAGGAGCGGCTGGGGTCCCTGTCGGGTCCAGCTCAACGGTCCAACTCTGGGACCAGCGAAGGCCTCCTGGGCACCGCTGGGCAGCTGAGTGGCCGGCGGCCTCCCCGATGGATCCCACCCGGGAGTGGGCAGAGCTGCTGCAGTCCCGCAGCCCCGAGCTCACGCAGGCCGGCCGCCCGGCGCGGGCCCCTCATGCTGCAATGCGAAAGCCTGGCTGGAGCCTTCGGAAGAGGAAGTGGCCGCAGCATCTGACAAAAGGTGTTTCCTTTTTCCTGCGTGGGAGTGAGTATCTGACAAGACCGAGGAGACTTATAACGCCTCACTCGCCGGGGCTCGGGGTGAGTCCCACGCAGCTGCAGCACGGCCGGAAGCCACCGGGCGGCCTTCCACAGAGGAGGAGCGGCCTGCGCACTCTGCTGCCTGGCCCCACGCCGCCTTCCACAGAGACCACCCCGCCACCGACCTGAACGTCACCCCCCCAACCCCCCCCACCACCGACACACATACACGCCCCGCCGCACACACCAACCCCCCACGCCCTGCCCACGTAGCCAGGGGAAGGAAGTGGGCACCTCCCGAGCTTTCCTGTCCAGTGTCCTCATCTTCCAGCCTGGCCCCAGCCTGGCCCCAGCCTGCTGAGTTGTATTTACAGCTCTCTCTGCTGGACCCGGGGGTCCCCTCTCACTGCCCAATGAGGAGACTTTCAGTCACTTGTCAAACTCTCCTGAGGCTGACAGCACACCAAGGAAAGGAAAGCAAATACGGATCTCTTCACAGAAGACAAGCCAAGTTGGAATCTATCAGCCTCCACCCACTCCCTCTTGTCGTTCTCACTTTGGTCACAGGGATTTGATCCTGGTGGACTCTACATCTTGTCTCCACAGTAACTTCCATCCAGGACCACTCTCTTCTTTCCATACCTTCGCAGCAACTCATATTCCTGCCTGTGCCTCATATTCCCTTCAACATGTCCCCTGAACCTTGCCATCCTTTCCCAGCAATTTCAGCATGTTCTTGACCTATTCTGCGCTGTGTCCATACACAAACTCAATGTTACATTCCTCTACTGGCTGGGGGATAGGGGGGAGGACAGGAGAGAATCTCCATAGTCCAGTCCCTCTGTTAAACTTTTGTCAACACCCAGAACATTCACCCTGGAACTGACTAAACCAACTGCACTCTCTTCCTGTTAAAGGTCAAGGGCTTCCTTTCCTAGATCTTTGGCCATAGGAATATTACACAACCTCTCTGAGCCTCTGTTTCCTCACTTGTTAAACTGGGATAATAATAGTTCCTATTTCATGGAATTGGATGATGATTAAACGAGCTCATATGTATAAACCACTTAACACAGTCCAAAGTAAACAAATAGGACTCATTTTTATCAGCAGATTACTTTCTACGGTAAGGATGAAGATCATCTCTGAGAGCTCTCTAAATTCTCTAAACTTGAGAAGGAAAGTGCCTGCCATAGAGGCAGGCTGGGGGAAGAGGTTGGCGGGAGGGAAACTGAGGTCATTGGTGATGGGAAATGGACACTGGTGGAGGGATAGGTTTTGGATCATTGTATGACTGAAACCCAATTATGAACAGCTTTGTAGCTGTGTATCTCACAGTGACTCAATTTAAAAAATTATAATAAATAAAATGAAACAAAATATATAAACTCTAAACTTTTAGCTCTCTTCAGTTGACAATGTTCTATCCTTTTTCTCTTCATTTCTATCCATAAAGCTTTATATCAACAATACATCTCATGGATTTGTATTCTTTTCTTTCTAGTTCCTTTCTAGTTTATAATTTTTAATGTTTTTATGTCCATGGCATACTTTCAAATACCAGAATTTGATACAGCATTAAAGATCCTTTCTTTCACTGATTCTAATTGTATCCAGAGTTATCACCTATCTACATATTCTTTTAGTCTGATATCACTGCCCAATACACTACCTAGGCTCGCTGACCTCAGAAAAGGTCTGTGTTACTATTGCATACCTTTATTCTCATTTTTGGCTGTTGGTTTATGGTCACCCCTCACTTCCCATTGGGGACTAGGAAAGTATGGTCACACTGTGTTGTATACCTGGGAGTAAAAAACACTTGATTCAACAGGAATTATCATAAGGGTACATATATCAGTCGTTTTAAAAAGTAATTTGGAATTTTGATGAAAATTTTGCAGCATGGGCAATGGATTTTTAATTTTTATCAATATATCATGATACCCCAGTTTTTAAAATGTTGCTATAAGTCCTTTCCTTTGTTTACTGCTATCTTCAAAGTCTTCCATCTATTACTCAAACAGTTGGGATGGTCATTTACTCTAAGACCATGGAAATATCTGAAGCTAACCCAGGAGAGTCTGGGAAAGAATATAATAATGAGGTAAACTAAGGAATTTTACAGTTTTTGTATAAAACTTAGTCTCTTTAGGTCAGAGACTGTAGCTTGAAAAGATTCATATCAGTATTACAAAGAGGGCCAGAGAGATAATACAGGGGTTCAAGCATTTGCCTTGTATGCAACTGATTCCCACTTGATCCCCAGCACCCCTTATGGGCTCCCAAACACTCCCATATGATTTCCTGAGCACTCCCAGGAATGATACCTGAGAGCAGAATCAGGAGTAATCCCTGACCACTGCTTACTTTCTTAGGTGTGACATAAAAAACAAAAAAGACAGAGCCAGGAGTAAGCCCTGAGCACTACTTAGGTCTTTGAGGTGTCTTTTAGGTGTGGCCTAAAAGACAAAAAAGAGGAGGATAGACATGAAAAGAATGGCGCACGCATGATTTTGGGAGAAATTGAAAGAGAAGGCATTCTGACAGATGCAGGGGGATTTTAAGCTGCAGTGTAGCTTAACTCAACATTACTTCTGTAATGACGCAGCTGTTGTGGCATCAGACATGGGAGGGAGAGACTAGCAAGGAGAGTAGTGGGAGATAGAGAAATTAAAGGTCCCACAATTATTGACTAAGGGAGATAGGAAGAACAGAAGCTTGAAAGACAGTACAAATGAAGAAAATTAACTCAGCACAAAATTCAGTTGCTGGGATATTCATTTTTGGTTAGTGCTGGAACTTTTGTGTGATTTATTAAGGAAAAAACAACCCACACAAAATCACACAAAAGTCAAAGCGTCCTCTTAGCACACCTATGCATTAAAGAATGGTCTGGCAAAAGCAGGAGAAAGGTATATTATATTCTCAGACCTGACCAAGAGGAATATTAATGTCTTTGTGATAGATAATGATTTTTTTCTGCCTATATATGCTTAAAACCTTGACTAACCATGTTTTATATTCAATAAATAACACCATTTGTCCATATACTGTTTCTTGATTCTTTTTATCATCCTCACATAGTCTCATGCTATTGTGGCTATGGCCATTGGGATATATAAATTTAAAAGTATGGGTGGTGTGTCTCCTAGTACCACAATAAAATGTGACACTCCCAACACTACAACAAAGTATGTGACCCTCAATACTGTAGCAAATACAAGTGATTCAATCCCCAATACACCCCCAACACTGCAACAATAAGCAGCGTGGATGGCTCAGTACAAAACTCCACCCTGTCAGAGTTAAGCCCAACAACTGAAACGATGACACAGTGGCTTTTATGAGCTAGTAACTAAGCAGAGAAACATTTTGTCTGTCTCAGAGCTTGCTCCCTGTCTCACTCCTCAGCATAATTCAACAATCAGGACTATCTTGAGATAATTCCAGTATCAAGAAAGAAAGTCCATCCCTCATGGGTTTGACTTAGTTCTGACTTACTTTCCTTGTTAATTCTTTTGAACAGTCTCTGTGGGTGTGACTTGTTCCTAGATAAAGTAAACAGAGAAATTTGTTGCTATTAATGGCACTGTTTTTCCTCATGAAAAACATAACCCTGATAAGCTTTGCTTGTGAGCCAGTCAGTGTACATTGCGTACATGCTCCCAGCCCTTCGGCAAGAAGATCTGAACCAAGCTGTGGGCTAGAGAGGGGACTGCAGGCAGACTAGGACAAGAAAGCAACAGTTGTAGAACAAGGAAGCAACAGTTGTAAAGTATTTAAAGAACCTCTTGGAGAAGAGGAAAATGAAGAAATGAAGGCCTCAGGGAAGCTGGAAAACTACTATTATCTAGTAGAGAAAAAAGAACAGGTCTTTAGCAATACACTGTCCAATTTAAAATCCGTTAACCTTGAATATCTATATACATGTAAGTAGATTAACATACATTAAATTCAGTTTTTCAGTCATAGCAGGCAATTTCACATGCTTAGCAATTCTATATACCTCACAAACTACAGTACATGACAGCCGATAGAAACAATTTCCATCAGCACAGAGAGTTCTATTGGAAAGCACTTCTTGGAATCTTTTAATCTTCCTGGAATAAGTAGTATTTCATTCCTTAGTATGGGACACAATGAGCCCTCAGGGTAAGCCATAATTCCATAAGAGAAATCAAGCTAAAGACCTAAGAGAAGTAGTTTCAGGTGGCAGAGTGCATTCCACCTTGATCCAAGAGGTCAGAGGGCGCCATGCTATGTATTTAACAAGGAGATCCATGATAAAATAGAGATGAATGGGCTGGAGCGATAGCACAGCGACAGGGCATTTGCCTTGCGTGCAGCCAGCCCCTCTCGGAGATCCCGGGCAAGCTACCGAGAGTATCTCTCCCGCACGGCAAAGCTTGGCAAGCTACCCATGACGTGTTCAATATGCCAAACACAGTAACAATCACAGATCAGATCACAGATCATCCTGTTATTCGTCGATTGCCTCGAGCAGGCCCCAGTAACTTCTCCTTCATCCTAGCCCTGAGATTATATTCAAGGCTCTTTAGGAGAATGAGACCCATCATTGTTACTGGTATTTGGCATATTGGGTACGACACAGGGAGTTTGCCAGACTCTGCCGACA